TCAAGAAAGTTCACCCATTGATGTGCAACGGAACCGATGACACAAACGCCGAGCGATTGTGGGCTTTGAGCGAGAATTGGGTGAATCTGGAGGAGGAATACAGAGTTAAATCACCCGTCAATGACCTCAAGGGAAGGGATATTAGTAGCCATCGACTCCTACCTATCGATGATTGAGAATCTGTCCAACAAATCATTTCAATGTCTAATCAAAAATAATATCAAAATCTAATCTAAAATTCCTTATTAATATCAACTTAACAAATATAAGTTTTATTTTATTGGTCACTAAAATACTCAAAACTATTGTATTCTCTCTCATAATAATTGTCTAAATTCTTGATTAAAATAATGATTTGAGAAATAATTTTGTAGTCAACTTTTAGCTTTTATTTTAATGTTTAACTAACTTTCTGTACACAATATATGCGGTCATAATAAAGCCAATGAAGTACACGATAGCCATGTGTTTGTCTCCACAAGTCTTTAATAACTTTTTGGCACCTCTTTTGAGTCTCTTTTGGACATAATTGCTACCAATGGGTGTCCTTTTTGTCAAACCATTAGTTTCTCTATAATTATGTCTGACACTGTCCGCCAAACGCACCGGTATATCGTCTGATGGTTGAGTTTGAGCTGTTCTCGACTTCTCTAACCTCTTGTACACTATCGCCTCATTTGCCGACTTATGCCATAATTGGACCCGATATTCACTCCTTTTGGAGGACTTCTATAGTAATAATCATATATTGTCCGCATTAAGACACGAGATTATGACCCTAATCATATGCTCAGCTAGTAAGCGACACTTTTACAACCATGTTAACTACCGCTAAAACTGCTAACCTAATATGGTAGTCGTGACCATAACACACTTGTGAGGAATCTACTCAAAGCCCGACAACTTTTTATAACTTTATCGTCTGATTCACCGGATTCTTGGATTCTTAAACCGCTATTAAGACCTCTCATGGCCTCAACATTACTATCATTTGGCTGATTATCACCGCATTCTTCTGGTGCTTGTGATGGCATCTCTTGCGATAGTATGGATTGATTTTTGTGACTAAGTTTTGATAATTCAATGAGATCTTCAGTAAAATCCAGATCTAACTGTGAGCCCAATCTGAGTTGATCCCTATATGCATGCATTAAACTTGTGGGATAATTGGCCGGAATGGCGTCTAAATTGCAGATATAGGCCACCATATCGTAGACATACTTCAGGGCAATCGCTGTCACTATAAAAACTAATTAGGTAACGGTTACTCGAGAGTTATTTACGAATTTGTAGAGTATACTTATATTATAGGTTAGTAAACATAATACAGACAGTAACCCGAATTATCACCGGTTTCTCCACTGACTCGCCTGTCATTAGATTGGACTCTGAGCCTGTGGACAGACTTTACCTAATGTATCGCTTTTAGTGGCACAGGTATCCAATACATGGCTGGCGTTTGAGTGTATTGAGAGTGGGTGTTGAGGTGATTGGTGAACGGTAAGCACATGCCGGAGCCAAACCAGCATACGAGCCACCAGTTTAGCCGTATATTGAGTTAAAAAGTGAAGAATTTTGACGGCGTGTGAAGAAAATGTGAAACAATTTTGACATAAACTGCAGTCTTAACTGCTTTTCAAATTAAATAATTAGCACTAAATTTGAATAAAACTAATCAAAACTATTTACTAATTGTTGTCACGACTGTCAGTATTAGAGCGCATAATAAGCTTACGATTATTGTTAGTGTTAATGATTTTGATGTTCAAATGACATGGTTTTAAAAAGTATGTTTTGTCATTTAAATGAAATTAAAGTCAAGTACACGATTCACATGATATTTATTTAGTTAAGTTCCGATTTGGTCTATATTTATATACAATTTCTAATGAATAAAATTAATCAACATATTTATTCAAAAAATAAATCTTATTATTTACAAATAAAAATTTAAAAACTAATATTTATTACTGTACTAAAATCCTATTCAATAAAAATTGTAATGATAATAATAAATCATTATTAATGATAATAAAAATATAATTTTAAAATAAAAACTAATTTTCACTTAAGGACATCGACTTTGTACAGTAAAAAGTCCATTAAATACATCATATCTTTTGGCACGTAATGGAAGGATATTAGGGAACGACTGCAGCACTCGGGCCCAGATTTATGCGGATACACACTGTATGAGTGAAACCACGGGGCTATCACATTGATGTCCATATTAGGCATAACCATATGCAAGGGGTCAAAGGGCAAGAATCGGGCCTTTGCCCAGTCATCTCTGGCATCCCCTATCAGATCCAATCAATAAGTAGTAATGTATTTAATATACAGAATATTCTGATGTTTTCAAAAATAATAACATAACAATAGGTAACCCATACCTGCGTCGACACCATTATTCTGTAGACACCTTCCCATCTCCAAGTCCTCAACACCAGTATCTATATGAGCCCTACAGGACTTGGTGTCCGTATTATTGTCCAAAGCCTTTATAAAGTGTTTGAGTGCTGTTTGGCTCAACACATAGCCGGCCCCACCACTCATATACACCACGTCTTTGAATCGCAATTTACAGCCAAAATAAAGGGGCTTTTGTGGCGAGTGTTGGGCTAAAAAGTGTCTTAAGTTGTCTACAATCACATAACTGTCATCATCGGCTTTAAGGAACCAATCGAAATGATCCAGGTAATTATCAAATAAGTAACGCATACCATGTTTAGTCTGTAAAAACATTTGTCTTTATTAATTATTTTATAAAATATTCTGTGTATGCTACTTAAATATAGCTAATATCAATATTATTAATAGGTTTAAAATAATAATAATAAGTTAATTGATAACATATTCAAAAAATACATTTAATTAACAATAAATTAATTATGTTTTATTTTTATCATTTATACAAATCAATATAATTTATAATTACTCTAATTTAAAATAAGCTTTTATGAATTAATAGTGACTACAAAATAATTATAAATTAAAACATACTTTACACCAAAGGTGTGGCCGATCGTCAGTATCACATAATTTAATGGCTGGAAGTGTTGAGTTATCTCTTGAGCTGATGAAGAGGTACTGATCACACCGTTGAGCCCATGTATTGCGGACGTGAATGGCTTTCTTGTCGTGATTGGCATATGTGGTGGTAATCATACAGAATATCTTTGGTCTCACATTTGATTTTACACTCTTTGGGGACATTAAATCGGGTTTTAAATCAGTTTCACTTATCATTAAAAGATTTTTCCTATTAATACTATTAATAAAGTTACTATAATTATAATTATTATTATTGATAATAGTTTTAATAGTAATCATAAGCGATAGCAATGCTATAAAAGTCAACAGAATTTGTATAAACCTTTTCTTATTATACACTAAATATAAGATTTTTGACGTGAAAACCATAATTGTTTTACAAAGTTATAAAAATTATTAATTTTGTGTAAAACAAAAATTCAATACATTGATCGTAGAATAAAATAATGTTTACATTTATTGTTTATTAAAATCATTGAGTATATAATGTAAACTAAATTCACTGTAAATTATATTATAAAATAAACACCAGATTTAAAAATACACACAAAACTTATATTAAACAGAGAAATTCAATGAGAAATATCACTCAACACACGAATTCATGCCTTTATTTTTGGGATTCAAAACACAGTCTTATTATAAGACAAACTGCACTGTAATGACTGATTTGTGAACACAAAAACTTATTGCTATGAGTTTTCTTGTTATACTTATTGAGTTAAACTCATGTGAAAAAAGAAGTTAAAGAAGTTTTTGCTTAAAATATATTTTTATTCATTTTAAAGCAAGAGATAAGACAATAAGTCATTGAGTATTTAAAAAGCAATATAAAGATCTCATAATGCGTTTAAAGCCGTTGTCTAAACTGTTAGTGTAATCAAACAGTTTCATCATATGGTTAATTAGCCGTTGAGTTCATTGTTTAGGAGTTTATTTTACTGTCAAAAACCTGAAATAAAATCAAATACTTATACATAAGTTATTCAGTAGTTTTTTGTTATCGTATTGTATTATAACTTATTCAGTAATCTGTAGTAACTATGAGAGAAGCATCGGTTAATGCATTAAAAAGTCATTTAGTTTTTTGAATTTAAATTTTTTTACGTAAGTAGAAAAATATGTATGCGGCTAATAGTAGACTCCCGGTTATAATCTAATAGTGAGTTGTGTTTTTGTTAAAAATTATAACCCTTTTTGTGTGTTCCATAGTTTTTCATATCCCATAATATTCAAACACTAATACAAAATATCATATATTATCTAGCTAATAATATATTGTACAGTATTTGCAAAAAAGTTTTGTGAGAGTTTTGTTTTACACAATAACTTCCGTAGTATTTTTTGTTAACCATAAATATAATGTAATAACAACTATGATACCACAATCAATACTGTTAATACAAAACCTATATGATAATACCAAACCGTTAATCTAAATCTATTATACATATCAGTGATAATACACTTTATAGCGATAAGTGAATTTAATTACGATTATAATCTTAACTCTTTTACAGAGAGTATTGGTTTTTGTACCCGTTTTGTCAAAAATTGATTTTTCCATTCATTAGTATTAGTATCGTATCAAACTTGACATATATTTCAGGCATCGCTGGCTTACCGGCGCTTTTATTATCAATTCAAGTCAATACGGTTCCCAATTATCGCTGTCTGACTACTATGTGTTTATTTTAAGAGTTTTTTGTTCGTGGTCTTTATCGCCAATGAATCAGAAAATAAAACAATAATAAAAATAACATTTAATTTTTAAAGTTTTATTTACATTTATTAATTCTTTACGGGCTAATGAGTTTACAATTTGTTTTTATATGCCTTTTTCTTAAGTGACAATTTATTTTATGTCACTTTATATAGCCATAAGTGGGACGTCTATTCATTAATACCTTAAATGCAATTCATTAGACAACTTAACAGTATTGTCTACTAAATTATAATATTATGTTTTGTATTTTTGTTTAACATTATGTGTGACATATAATTATGTCATTTCCTACACCATATACATAAAAATGATAAATTATGTTCATACAATTTAATAATGATATAAATTTTATGACTTTCACCATTATTATTTTTGTCTACAATTTTAATATTCATTTTCACTATAGATTGATTCAAACAAAAAGAAAATTGAAAGCTATTGCATAATATCTGTAATAAGTTTTTAGTTTACAATGAGAGAGAGAGAGAGAGAGAGAGAGAGAATAATTATTTTTGTAGTAATTAAAAATATCTTAGATTATGATTACAATTAGTAAGATATAAAAAGATATCTAATATTCAATATTCAATAAATAATATTTTATCAATATTGTAATTATTTAATAAGAAAAACAATACAAATGAATGAAAAAATGATAAAAAGTCAAAAAATGAGTTCATAATCGCATGAGTGAGTATATGTCGGTCTAAAACTCAATGATAAATATATGATTGAAATGCATATTTTTTTGTCAATTATTTTGTTTCCTTTATTAAATAAATAAATTGTTAAATATTTTAGACATAACATTGTGTGCATTAAATGTCAAACATATTTTGTACATTAAAATTATACAATAATTACAATAATAATTATCAAAGCAATTTAATTAATTACTCTATAAAATAATGCACAATAGCAATATAGTATACTAGTGCATATAACTGTTATATTATAACAGGTAGCAATAATACACTTTACTATAATATGTTAAGAAAAAGCATTTTTTCCCAAAAAATCAATATTTTTTATTTCTAACAATATTTTTATTTTCAAGTCTATGTTCATTTGAATCATAAAATATTTTAATATAACTGTAAGACTGAATTTGTTTTTATATGATATCTGATGTTTTTGTTTGCAACAATACAGTGTATGAAATATAATGTTACTGTGAAAACTATACCTGTATTGATACGCTAACCCTCTATAAAAATAAGTAGTAAGCTATTAGACCTCATACCCAGGTGTGGGATATTTTGGCAGAAATTTATAGTAAATTATTATGCAATTTGAATTCAATGGGATTTTAATTTGTAATGATTTGGGAATTTTTGGGAATATGTAAAAATGTTTACGTTTAATGATAGAGTATGATATGATTATAATATTTATATTAAGATAACCTTACAGCTAATTCATATTTAATAGATGTGTTATCAAATATCTAATATCAAACACTTGTCTAATATTTTTTTATATCAGTTATAAAAATATTTTTTGACAACAAAACATCAAAAATATAATTTGTAAATTAATTATTAATTTACTACAGAGTATATACAGTATATTAAATAGTTATCAATTTTCCAATAACGTGTTGTATTTTTATTACAGATACCGTACTGTAAATATTTACTCAAAATATTATTATCAAGTTTTCATTTTATATATAAATTAAAAAGTTTATATAATTTTCGTGAAATTCATGTGAATTCAATTGTAAAGTAATTTCGTGTCATTTCTTGCATATTGTGTGTAAAAACCAATTTTCATTCATAAGTCTCATTGAAATCATAAGTGAAAGAAAGTTTTACTTTTATTCACCATAAGTCTTGTATATAAATGTGTGAATAGTGTCTAATATTATTGTGTATAGTAAAATTTAATTTATTATAATAAAAATGGGGTTTTGGTACCGATTTTATGTTGAATTTCGGTTTGCATTTGAAATAATATGTGAAATGATCCGAAATTCTATGCGTTGGACACCATTGGGTCCCAAAAGGTTCAAGAATTTACCAAAGACTATGAGCGGACAGGTAGTGGTCATTACCGGCGCCAACACTGGTATCGGTAAAGTGAACGCCACTCTATTCGCACGACTAGGCGCTAAAGTAATGTATTATTTTTGTTATCATTTTGATAGTACTGTATCCCAGGTGCTGTTCACCCGGGAACTGGCCGATCGGCTCCGGGAGACACCGGTCACTGTGTATGCGCTCAACACCAATATATGGCGCCATTGGAAGCCCTTCCCAGAGGAGGACTGGCGGCACGTGTTTAACGACTGGTTCCGCAAGATATCGGATCCCATCAATGGCTCGCAAACTATACTGTATTTGGCTTTCGAGGAGGACCTCAAAGAAGAGACCGGATATTACTATAGGTATGCCATTCGTGGTGGTGGACAGGGATTGCTATTTGATTTTTTGTGGTCTTTTTATAATATATTTTGTTTTAATTGTTATTTTGATAGCAATTGCGAGCGAATCACATATATATCCAACAAAACGGATGAAATTTCGTCCCAATTGTGGCAAATCAGCGAAGATTTGGTAGGAATCGCATCCAAAACAACCCCAACAACCAAAACAACCACTGAAGTGGAGATCTAATGATTCAAAATTAATTGACATTTCAATACTTATTAAACTGTATTTACAATGCATTTTCACGTAATTCGTTAATGTTTATTGAATTACATAATACACACTCTGTATTACATAATACTTATGTATTAATCGATGTATTCCTTGTCATTAAATAATTTGAAATAAAAATATATTTTATTAATTTGAAACAATTTTCAATAATTATAGTAAAAGGTATAAAATAATTAAATTCGTAAATTTTACAGTGACAACTAATTGAATTTATTAGTGAATATTTGTAAAACTAAAATAATATACATTTTCATATTTGACATTCACAGACTTATTAAATTTAATACTAGTGTATTTTAAATTATTTTAAAAAATAAATTGTATTTTAAATTCTATGAAATATTATTGGATATTAATATTAATATAAGGAAAGTTAATAAAATATTTTAAATACACAGTTATTAATATAACTATATACAAACAGTACTAGTGTACAGTATATGTTACTACTAATTTATACACCGGAGCATTCACCAGGTACCGTAAAAAGTTCCGGATCATTAAACTAGTATTTTATGGGAAATGTACACTTTAAGCGTAAAAATTAAATTTACATTTTTGTTCCCAATAAATTGACAAAAATTTGAAAAAATTATTATATAAAAAATAGTACCAAACAAAATATTTTTATATTTCAATATTTTTTTTTGATTGTGTGTATGTATGAATTAAATAAACTATACAATCGTATGTTATAATTTTTTTAATCAGTGGAAATGGTG